TTGGTACGTACAGATGTGCACAGAGAAGCAGTACCCACCAGCAGACGTGGCGCAGGTGATGGACACAGCAGTGAGTAGGCTGCAGCCACGGTGTCCACAGAACATGCCGATCTACAGAGAAATACAGACGTGCATGGGATGGATCAAGACTCAAATCATGGCTCTTGTTAAAACATGAAATGAATTGTAAACTTTATGACACATTAATTGATTTTCTTGAGCTACTATTGGCTTAAAGTTATGAGAAACCGTTTAGTGCAAAAAACAATGTATAAATGGGTGTAATGGTATCAGAGGAATTGCAGATGCTTGCGGAATTTTTGATGAATTTATGCGGAATCTGGTAAAATAATTTTGAATGTAAATTGTAACAGCGAAATCTTGCAGAATGTTGCAGAATTTTTGAAAATAAATAAATTAGTAAAACTTATAAAATTATTAATACAAAATTGTCTTTCACAAAATCAAATATTATGTTTATAAATGTATTAAATTATTTTCTAAATCCAACTTATTCCATCAATATTTTTTCTAACATAAATAATATATAAATACTAGTTTAAAAATATTTTAACATAATATATGAAAATTGTCTTTACAAATTGACCATCACTTCATATTTCATTTTCCAAAAATATTGCTTATTTTTCTATATCGTACATATTAAAATTATTAAACTCAATATGTAAACTTATGAGGAACTATTAAGCATTTAAGTCAAATGTATGCGTAGTTGCGTACTGTATGACATATGTGTATTGTTCCACAAATTTTTTTCAATTTCTCTCATTTGCAACTGGTAAAATATAAAAAAAAATTCCACACAATTCCTCATACTTTAAGTTACGAGTTAGGCCCAATAGATCAAAATTAATTTGTCTTTTTAATATGTGCAAAATTTCTAAAACATCTACGTATTGAAACGGAGGGAGTATATTATCTGAGATTTGTTCTCTTGTACATTAATTATGCTTGGAGAAGTTGTTGAAGTGGTTCTTTTCTTAGGTCAGTTTCGGTTTAAGAGGGTTTAAAATAAAATTAATTTTTCTCTCGAGTGAATGTCCAATATGCACACATGGCGGCTTATTTACCTCCTAAAAATAAATTCGTGAAGAACTCGTCGATTCTGCGAACGTCCCAAGAGAGAAGCCATGTCTTTCGATTCAGATTTTGGGTTTCAAAATTGAACATCCAAACATGTTTTCTTCTCTTTTCCTTCTGTTTTTCAGTTTCCTTGCGTTGGTTCCTAATGGTAATCGTTTTCTCTCTCTTAGTAGAGCATCGTTTCTTCTCCGGAACCATGGCCGGTTTCCTTACGACAACATGAAAACATGTGTATCATGGTTGATGGTTTTTCCGGTTTCGTGGATATAAAATCAAGCAGTTTCAACAGTTTGAAAAGTTATTTCAGATTCGGAATTGTCTAAATCCGTTGGATCTAAAGATAAACAGAGGCTGAGAATTTTGTTAGTTTATTATCAATGATCAAACGTGCATATATAGCAATACATTTAACAAGACTCAAAAATCAAGGAAGATCTACAACAATGCTTGTGTTATGGAGCCTCTGTTACGAACAAAGCGCAGTCTTCAAATATGTGCATATCCCTTTGGAATATTCTAAATTTACTGAACCGGAAGTAAACCGAACAAAACCAATAACTGAACTTGACCAATGGTCCAAGAGGATCCGACACTCGAATCTGATTATGCTAAGAATGAACATTACGATACTTCAACCTCTTGGAATTTTCTTGGGATCAATTTCGTTACATATTCATCTAATCCATATAGAGCCATTCAGATTTATGAGTTTACTGAATGTTCCAGATTGCAATGATCATTTTTGGACGATGACGAACAAGAAAAATAACAGATTTGCTAATTTGTTAGCGTGTAAAGCTTACCATAACAGGAAGTAGCGTTAAATTCACTTATTCGATACATATCGTTCTACTTAAATATCGTTTATATATTGGTTGTACCTCTGTATCATAGATAACTATGTAAACATCGTTAATATCTTTGTACCAAATTCTTAAACTGAAAAAAAAAATTGTGAAAATCGCCAGTTTTTCTTTTCCTTTTTTCTGACATCACCTCTGAAAATCGCTAATTAGAATAATCTAAACCCTAAAATCAAACTCACACCACTGAAATCCCAATATAACCTCCTCGGGAAAAAAAAAAAATCAGATTTTGGATTTCGAATCAAAAGAAAGTTAAACTCTTTAGGGACTCAGTAATGGCGGATTTCCAGACATCAACGCAACGGGCCAAGTGGATTTTCACTCCCCACAAACTGGTATTTTCTCCAACTCCGCCTCGTCGCTTTTTGTTTTCCCCAGAAATTCATGTGAAAATTGACGATTTTCTTTGCTTTGGTTGCATCATAGAGATTACCTTCGTGTGTGGTTAATTCTTTTGGGCTAATGAGCAATTAGTTTCATAAACTCAACAATGGAAGTGAAATTGTTCATTGTTTCAACAGATAGATAAACTCTCGAATATTGATGCTCTATTTTACGTTGCTTCTCTTTGGACACGTTTTTGTATCTATAAATCTTGATGGGCGTCCTTGATTTTCATCTTGTTTGACGCAAGAGAGAGTCCGATTAATCGAAGCATTTCGAATTTTTGCGGTGTAATTATCTGTGTTTTTGTTAGTTTTGTTAATTCTTGTGTAGATATTGATAATGCAACTAAGTTCTCGTGTTGTAATTGTAGGCAGAGAGATACAAAGCTGCTAACCAGAGGGCAGTGCAAATGCTGGAGAAGGTGTGTGTGTTAAGTGTTGATATGGAACTTCTATTCATGATCTATTTTTTAATTTTATTCTTATTTTTAGTGTGGAACAACCCAAGTTGAAGTAGATGCCAGTGGATCACTAACATATCCTACAGATAAAATTGATTCAGGAGGTCAAGGTATTTTCTTTAATTATTATTATAAACAGTTCATTGAATATCTTCATAATTATCATTATACTTTTGTTGGTCAAAGTTGATTTTTTCTTGCTACTTTACTCTCAGCTGATAAGAAGCTTAAGCCTTTGAGTGTTGATGAAGAACGGTTCATGAGAGCATTTTATGAGGCAAAAGTCCAAGAAGTGTGCAGTGCCTTTGAATTTCCTCACAAGATTCAGGTGCATTGTTGTGATTCAACTCAAAAATAAAATACTCCATCTTGTTTGCTCTCTCTGACTTGCTGTTTTTCTTATAATCTTTTGCAGGCAACGGCTCTCCAGTACTTTAAAAGGTTTTATCTGCAATGGTCTGTTATGCAACATCATCCAAAAGAAATAATGTATACTACTTCTGAATCCTTAAGAAAAGCCCACAAGCTTTATTGATTTGTTTTCCAATAACAAATTATGTTTTGTAGGTTTATCAAATTGAGCCGAGTATTTTGTATTTCTGACATGCTTATTAGGCACAGTTAATTTCCCCTTGGTAGAATGAACTGATACCTTTCATTGAACAGGTTAACCTGCGTTTATGCAGCTTGTAAAATAGAGGAGAATCATGTATCTGCCGAGGAAATAGGGAAGGGGATTAAACAAGATCACCACATAATTCTCAAGTATGAGATGGCTGTTCTTCAGGCATGATATGTACCAGTTTCCCTATGTGTTATACCCCTGATGCTCTTTTCTCTCTCTATTCTTATGTTCATATTAGATTTTACCTTTTGTGTGCAGAGTTTGGAATTTGATCTAATTGTTTATGCACCGTATCGTGCACTCGAAGGTTTTGTCAGTGACATGGAGGTAAATCTGGCCTGTCTAGAAATTTTTTGTAGGGTTTCTTATGCTAGCTTGATTTTCTCTTTTAACATCTTTACAACGGTGACACTTTTTTTTTAGTTGATATGCAAATGTTCTGCTGCAAACAAAATTGTGAATGTTATCTCCAAGGAAATTGAGCTTTTTGATACTTTATATTCGGTGTGTAATTTTTCATAGTTGTTTAACTTCATGCTGTCTCCAAAAGTGACATCACCTTTTCATCCTCCAGGCATTTCTTCAAGCTGGAGATGATGAAACCCAAAAACTAGAGGTAGATCATGGCTGCAAGGTTGAACATAAATTTTCCTTAGTCGTTGCTAGATTTAAGCATTCTGTAACTAAATTTAAGGCCAAAACATAAATTCTAGTACAGGTTTGTGATCATGGCTGCAAGGTTTTTTACTTAGCAGGCCTTATTGAAGTGTTATATTTCCATATTGGCATAACATTTTAAAGTACCTTGCAGAATTTGCTGAAAGCGGCGACAGCAGAAGCTGATAAAGTTATGCTCACAGATGCTCCGCTTCTTTTTCCTCCTGGCCAGGTGATAGTTTCTTTTGTTTCCCTAGACTTTGTTTTGACAGATTGAAGATACCTCATAGTTTGTGTATCTTAGTAAAGCTCAATACTCATTAAACTTTAGGACGAAAGTTGTGCTCCGCTTTTTCTTTTACGGTTATATAGGTGAAAATTGCATTAATGAAATAGTTGTAACAGAAGAAGTTTAGCCTATCGGAAACAGACTCACCATGTTCCTTCTTCAAGGATTTCTTTTCTTTTGCTTATATGTAACAGAAGAAGTATCACAAATCGTTGTATTGTTTCTCAATTGTTAGACGTGTGCCTTTGCAGTTGGCGTTGGCTGCTTTGCGTATTGCAAATGGGGTTCTTGGAGTGATTGACTTTGATAGGTGATTTCCCTTTTGCCACCATTTGGTCATCGTACAATTATGTTGCCATGATATGTAATCTCTTGGTCTCTAATTTCAATATATGCAAGCTTTTACTGATTGTATTTTCAACCACATTGCATCCTACTGCAGGTACCTAGAGAATATTGTTTCTCAACCGAACTCTGAGCACACGACTTCAGAGCTCACAATGTTACTTGATGACATAGAATCTTTGGTATGCACTAACTTTCATACCATGAAACTTTAATATCTAAAAGGCAGTTTTACCATATGCACTCTCTTTGCAGGTAAAGACGTACAAGTTCCCAAGTGAAAAGGACATGAAGCATATCAACCGGAAGCTAAAATCTTGTCTAGGACACAGTTCTTCACATGACGAGTACATTAACCTTTCTGTTTTTGATTCTTTTAACCATGTTATATATTGCTTAGTTGTTTGCTTCTTCAACCTGACTTTCTCTATATTCATTTTCCTCAGTAGTAAGAAACGGGAGAAGAGATCAAAGCACAAATCCCATAGGAGTTCCAATGATACACCAAAAGGATAGTTGAGTTTCTCATTCTGCCTTTTAGCAATTCGTCCTTGGCACTTGGTTAGTTTTAATCTTATCGAGCGAGAAAAATCCTCTTACATAGCTTTTGCTCTTGTTGTTGTTCTTAATAGTAAATTTGAGCAGATTTGAATAATCTCCAAAGTTTATGTTACAGAGACAAAAGTAATATCCAACATTGGCCATAAGTTTTGTTTATGACTTTATTCCGAAGATGTCAATGAACCTTCTTCAAATACTCAACTATCATTTGATTTAAGTTACGGCGCATGCAATGCAACTTTCCGAATGGTTTGTTTTGCGACCATGCTCAACAAAGTCGCAAG